GTGTGTGTGTGTGTGTGTGTGTGTGTGTGTGTAGGTACACCATCTTCAAGGACCACGTGTCTCTGGGCGACTGTATCCTTACACACCACTGAGTATAACCTGCTGCCGCTGATAATCTACAGGTGCTTTAGGAAGAGCTGTCGCTGCTCATGTACATGCAGAAAAGTACATAGAGTGTGTGTGTGTGTGTGTGTGTGTGTGAACCGTCTGTGTTTACTGATGTACAGTTATCATTAATATCCTTGACTCTGAACAACAGATGAAATCCACGACGGCATGAACCTCGAGCTGTATTACCAGTAGAACGAACACACACACACACACACACACACACACACAGTCTGAAAGTGTGTTCAGTTGACTTGTTTTGATATGATTTGCAAATAAACTCATATTTATATATACTCCAGTCTCTCTGTGTGTTCAAGAAGAGCTTTTTATTTTTAAATCAGAATAAACTTCATTACATCCACTGAATTACTGACTCCTGCAGCTGTGTGTGTGTGTGTGTTGAGTGATGGAGCTGTTGATTGGTCAGCAGTAATCTGAATGCTCCTCCTCTACATAATTAGCTGGAAACAAGCCGACCTGCAGGAGAGAGGACAGATCATTAGATCATGAAGAGAAATAAACCGTAATACACTGGTGAAGAGCTGAGGACATCATCAGTGCACACTCGTATCACACACACACACCAGAACACACTCATCTGGGCATTTTTGGCATTAAACACGCAGAATTCAGCAGCAGAAGCATCAATCCTGATATAAAACATCAATGCTGTTTGGAGAAAGTCAGAATCGTGAGGTTAAACTCTCACTGCAAACTTTTAAAATGATCTACTGCTAATCTGTATTCTGATCAACACGACTTCACATCTCGATCATGTGTGTTTTATATTTCATTTAATGTGTGTTTTAATATCAGGACATGCATGCTGCTTTACAGTGTTTCCCAAACTTTGTTTCAAAGAACGACGTAGTGGAGCGGTAGGAAGTGCTGCTGCCTCACAGCAAGAAGGTCACTGGTTCAAGCCTTGGGTCAGTTGGTGTTTCTGTGTGGAGTTTGCATGTTCTCCCTGCGTTCGCATGGGTTTCCTCCAGGCTCCAGTTTCCCCCACAGTCCAAACACATGCGCTATAGGGGAACTGGGTAGGCCAAATTGTCCGTAGTGTATGAGTGTATGTGGGTGTTTCCCCAGAGATGGGTTGCTGCTGGAAGGCAATCCGCTGTGTAAAAACATGTGCTGGATAAGTTGGCGGTTCATTCGGCTGTGGCGACCCTGGATTAATAAAGGGACTAAGCCGCCAAGCAAATGAATGAATTAATGTCTTTTGAAAAAGAGTAAGAGTTTAACCCCGGCTTCCTGGCCAAATTTTCCTACTGGCCTCTGTCCTCCTAACCATTCCCACATCATAATTGGCTTCATCACTCTGTCTCCTCTCCACCAATCAGCTGGTGTGTGGTGTGCGGTCTGGCGCAATATGGCTGTCGCTGCACAGTGCTGCACACTGGTGGTATATGAGGAGATTCCCCCAATGTGTAAGGGTGTCTAGAAAAGTGTCTAGAAAAGTGCTATATTTGTAAGGAATTATTATTATTATTATTCGCTGATAATCTTCCCTGAATGACTTTGTGACTTTAAGCCAAAAATTATTTTGACACATGCAGTCATGAATCTGATATCCCAAGGACTCTCATAAATGTGTAAAGGAGAGCTTTCAGCAGATGTATGTCAATATTTTCAATAAAAAAACAACTTCAATGCAGTATTAGTACATGGCTTTAGAAGACTTTAAATATACTGTAGCGTATGAATCATGTACTAAATTTATAGATACTTTATAATGTGTTTGCATCCTTTCTAAAGCTTGAAAAACCTCCATTTATTGTAACTGCATGACAAATAAGACGATGCAGTAAATTTTCCCAAATTTGCTTGTTTCAAGAAAGAAGTCAGATTTGCAACAACATAAAATAAGCAGTGAAAG